ATATTGGAAAATAAAGTTAAGGAACATGTCCAGAAATTAGAAGAAAACACATAAATGAAGAATCTAGAATTGATGAGAAAATTATACAGGTTGAGTCCAAATGACACAACATCCAAGTAATAGGGATTACAGAAAGAAAGAGGAAAGAAGCACATCAAATAAATAAATGTATAAATGTCCTAGAAATTATGGATTTATTTCCAAAATGATGGCCCATGCCTATGGATGGAAATACCTGCAGCAAAGTTTATTGTTAAGAGTTCTGAGAACATTGGACAAAGAAGTAATTTTGTAGGGCTCCAGTGCTGGAACAGCAGGGCATTAAGGGGTGTCATACAATGTATTAGAATAATACAAACAATAATCAAATAATCAGAGTAGCATCAGGCTTTTCAGCCACAACTCTGGAAGCTAGGAAGCAATGGAAAAGTGCCTTTAATTTTCTAAAAGGATTGCCAGCCTAGAATTCTTTACTCAGCAGAGTAGTCAATCAAATATGAAAGTAGAAAATGACATTTTCAGCTATACAAGGTTTCAATAAACTCTTCTCCCTTGCACTGTTCTCTAGAAGCTACTAGAGAATGTGCACCACCAACAGTGAGAGAAAGTAAAGGCAGAAACAAGGAGAGTTGGGTTCAGGATACAAGGGCTCTAAGGACGCAAGAGAGAAGAGAAGAGAACCTTGGGTTCCCAGAGTGTGTGGGAAGGAAGTCCCCAAGATCTGTGTGGCAACCCTAGAAAGCAACCAGTCCAGACAGATGAGCAAGCCCTGATAGAATTCCTGATAAGATTGGGTACATTGAGAGAAGATTCATATATCCTGGGAAATATGAGGAGTTGAATTAATAATAAATACAAGAAAACAAAGCAAAAACATCAAAACAACAGATAACTAAAGGAAATACATGTTCTGCAGAAAAGGAAAGAAATCATGGAATGCTATATAACTTATCTCTGGATACTGTTGACATAGTCATGCTAAAATAAATATCAAATGTTGATTAATAAATACCAAAAATTATGACAAAATGGTACTGAGAAAATGGAGGCACAAGAAGGGTATATGAGTTATATGAGTATGTTAGTGGTTATATGTTAGTATGTTAGAGGTGGGAGAAACTAACTTCATCTTTCATAATAGAAAGTAAATAGAAAATGACAAACACCAAAAAATAATTTGGTAGTAATAGTCCTAGGTTATTTAGCCATATGGAAACAGCCAAAAAATTGAAATCAGTTGCATCTGAGGAAGCAAGAAATTGAAGACAGCTCTTTCAGAATCTTGACTCTTTAAATTGGTATATGTATATTTTTGGTACAAAGAAAATAAATTTTAAAAACTAATATAGTAAATTTTTTTGTGTGAATACCAAGAATGTTTATAGACAGCATGAAAAATCTCAATATCGCAATGTTATTAAATCGGAGTCTTGTGATCTGGAATAAAATTTCCAATAACATTGCTTGGCTGGATTGCAGAAGAGCTGTAGATACACATGATGATGATGAATTCTGAACAAGCTTGTAAATGACTCAAATAATGCAGATCGAGACCATCCTGGTCAACATGGTGAAACCCCGTCTCCACTAAAACTACAAAACATTAGCTGGGCATGGTGGCGCGTGCCTGTAATCCCAGCTACTCAGGAGGCTGAGGCAGGAGAATTGCCTGAACCCGGGAGGCGGAGGTTGCGGTGAGCCGAGGTCGCGCCATTGCACTCCAGCCTGGGCAACAAGAGCGAAACTCCGTCTCAAAAAAAAAAGAAAAAAAAAAAAAACACTTGCATTGGAGATACAAGTGATGAGTTTGAATTAAAATCATTTCATAAAATATGAATTTGAAAGAGGCAGTACTAGTATATATCATATAATACAGGATTTAGCATCATTGCTCTTTTTTGTCAAGCTTTCAGTCATGTCTTTGACCAGTTAATTTGAAATTTCAAGGAGATTGGAATTTTAAAGATTTGTGATTGTTTTTTCTATTTCAGAACTTAATAATCTGTTGTTGCCCTTTTCTTCTTAACTACACTCTTGAAGAATTCAATGTCCTTCCCCATCCCCATATGATGTGTTTGCATGGACTTCCAATTTGGAATCATTTCACAGAAGAGAGAAAACTATTTCATGCCTAATAACCTCAGGAGATTTAACCAGCCTTGCCTCTCCCTTTTACTAAACTTCTCTGGGGTTTTATAGCCAGTGACCAGAGCAGAGGTGCCTGTCTCGTAGTTGGTGTTCAATAAATATGTGCTAAATAAATGAATAGTTCTGTAGAGAACTCCAGTCAAATTCCAAGCACTGAGTAAATGCTAGTGTATTCTCATTCAAAGGGTCACTAACTAAGAAGCCTTCATGGGGGAGGCGAGTCAGTGAGTGAGATCAACCCAATGAGGACAGAGGCAGATGGGAAATCAAAGGCTCCATCTAAAGGACATAGTGGGAAACTTAGTCCATGGTTGTTAAACAATAATAACAACAATAAACATTTATGTAGTTCATCCTGTGTGCACTGGTCCAATCTCTTTACATATAATAGCTCACATAATTCTCCCAACAAAAACTATATGGTAAGCACTGTTACTCCTCAACATTTTGCAGATGAGGAAACGAGGGCGCCTAATGACTGTGTGCTCAAGCACATATAGCTAATAAGTGGTAGTGCCAGGATTTTGGACCCGACCATTCTAGCCACCAAGTCCAGACTCTTAATCATGACACCATATTGCCCATCTATTTTTTAAAAAGAAGTCATATATCTATATAGAATCTGCTAATTTATAAGTGTTGGCAACTAAATATTTTTAAAGCACTGTAAGCCAAGCAAAGCATGCCTGGTTTGTGACTTCTTCTCAGGTAGTAGAAAATTAAAACATGTGGCTAGGATACACAAACCATGACTGGGCCACATTTAACATGCATGGTGGTGATGGGCAGGATCTCATACAGATCTGGATGACACACTTCTGGATTCAGCCTCATCACCCCAGTGGACATGACCCTGTGGACTCCATTCAAGTAGAAAGAAAATAATCTAGTGAATGTGAAAATGGCCACATGTCTGTAGATCATGAGAAGTTTGAAACTCCTCTGCAAGCTGTGTGGGTCTGATCAGGAGCTTATAGTGCTATATTCCTCTGTTTGAAGGATGACAGAGATAGGTCTGATGTATTTTGTTGCCTCTATTATTGTTTGGTTATACTGACCATTTCAGTGGAATATGGATTTTTTTTTTTTTAAGTCAAAGGAAACATTGAATGCTATGTGATGGTTACTGAACTCGGCAAAATTCATTGGCAGTTGCTAGAAAAGCTATACTTGCTGGTAATAACAAAGTTTTTATTTTTGTGCCCTATGCCCAGAACAATTTGCAGTTTTAAAATATGACATAACTAGAAATCCTAGATGCTTATATGCCTCTAGGGGCATTCTATCAAATCATTGAATGAAGTTTTAAATTATGAGTTAATTATAGTAAAGAGAATGTTTTGCATTCTTTGCTGGAAGCTAAGAATAATGATTGAATGAAGTACCATTAGCATTTGCTACAGACCAATTTAGACAGTAGGTAAGGTATCGATGTATGTTTTCTTTTTCTTTAAATGTTGTGTTAAGATATTAAGCCATCTGTTCTTGTGCATAAACATTTTCCTGCGATTCAGATGGGATTATGGGATATGATATGGCTGTATGATTATTATGGGGTGATCAGACTGTTTATAACAAAATCTTACTTTAGGGGCCTGTTAATGATCTCTAGAAGGAAATCACTCCAGGCTTCAGGTCGGCAAAACATCTCCTCTCAGAGGCTGTTTTTCACAAATATTGGTATGGTTAATTGTAAGGATCAAATTCCTAAATTAAATGTAAACCTCTAAGTCAAAATGACTTTTTTATTTATATGGACTATAAGTAGTTTCTAGGGTTAATTCTAAATAGGCTCATTTCTAATTGTTTCATATTTTCTAAGAAAATTAATAAAGCCCAAAACTGACCACTGTGTACTATAATAGTTTTATCTATAGATTTAATAAGAGTTACATGTATAGGTTTAGAATATCACCATATATAAAAACTTAGTGAACTAGCAACAAAATATTTACTAAAAATATAAGAGAGAGTCACATTTCAGGAGCTTTCTGAGTATGAATTTGTGAGCAGAATTTAAAGATTTAGAGTCCCTCTAGCAAAAAAATTCCTTGTGGGGGGAAAAAAAGGAACTTTATTGATTAATTGATTGATTGATTGAGACAGAGACTCGCTCCGTTGCCCAGACTAGAGTGCAGTGGTGCCTCAGCTCACTGCAACCTCTGCCTCCTGGGTTAAAGTGATTCTCCTGCCTCAGCCTCCCAAGTAGCTGGGACTACAGGCATGCGCTACCATGCCTGGCTATTTTTTGTATTTTTAATAGAGATGGTGTTTCACCATGTTGGCCAGGCTGGTTGAACTTCAACCCCAGGTGATCTGGCCACCTCAGCCTTCCCCCTATGCTGAGATTACAGGCGTGAGCCACTGTGCCTGGCCAAAAAAAGAGAAGAAGTTTAAATCAGTGATTCTCATCCACTTTACCACTGTACACTGGAGTAATATGGCATATTCCCATCAACGGTGGTGTCTACTCACTATTGGAAGGGAATAGAGGAAGGAGTGACTAAGGGGAGCCCCAGTTGATTTAAATACTCTCCAACTGAGGTACTGACCCTTCAGGTCCTCTCTGGAGAACTGCTTATTAAAATAGATTTAAATCTAATGGCCACTTCTCCAATTGCCTTCTCTAATTACAAATTTAAAGTGGCATTGGTTTAGCTTTTATGTTTGTAAATATTTTAGCACAAACATTTGTATAGCCATAACGTGCATACATGCAAATTCATTTGCTGACCATCTTTGTTTGGCATACAAATGTTACTTGCATTAAATTATTATAAAACAGGGGAAATGTACAACAGGGGGTGAATAATGGATATAAAGATGTGATTATTCTGTCTTCATTATTACAGCACCATCCAGTAGAAAACCAGGAGACCCCCTCGTCATTTCAGATATCAAGAAAGGGAGTGTGGCACACAGGTAAGGAAAATGGATTTTCTGATTCATTTTAAGCCCTCTCTTAATTTAAGCATACATGACACCTTCCATACCAAAAGCAGACCTTTCTAGTGGATCACTGTATTTTCAAAAACTTCCAGTCACTATTAATTGATCATATTTGACATCCCTAGTTGCAATGGCTCCACAGATCTCCTCCTGCATATCAATTTATTTCTGCACAGCTGAAAACATTTCTTAGGATCTTTCATGAGTCTAGCATAGGCTCTCCTTCACTGATCATCTTTCATTCATTTTCTGACCAAAAATAAATAAATAAATAACCCTGAAAGTAGCAGCGCTTATTAGAGATACCCAAACAGAGGTGATAACTGTGCAAGAGTTTTGCTGTTACCAGAATATCTCCTCTGGGCAAGCAAGATTCTTGAGCATCAAAATGTTTGTATCAACTGTTTAGCCCATATACTATCAAAATCAGGAGGTCTCAAAGTTTTTTCATAAATAAAAATATTTTAAATGATTGAGGATACAATATACGACCATTAACTTCATTTTTATTATCTAAATCAAGACTTTAAGAAATTACAATTTATTATCACAATTATTTTATTAAATACTTTTATTTTCTTTTCCTTATGAGACAGAGTGTTGCCTGTGTCACCCGGCTGGAGTGCAGTGGCACAATCTTGGTTCACTGAAACTTCTGCCTCCCAGGTTCAAGTGATTTTCCTGCCTCAGCCTCCCAAGTAGCTGGGATTACAGGCGTGCACCACCATGCATGGCTTATTTTTGTATTTTTACTAGAGACAGGGTTTCGCCATGTTGGCCAGGCTGGTCTCAAACTTCTGACCTTAGGTGATTCACCTGCCTCAGCCTCCCGAAGTGCTGGGATTATAGGTGTGAGCCACTGTGCCCAGCCCAAGAAATACTTTAACGTTCAAAAAGTAGGAAGTAAAACAGGCACAGAAATACAGACATCAGGTGTTCTCACTTATTTGTGGTATTCAAAAATCAAAATAATTGAACTCATGGAGATAGAGAGCAGAAGAAGGCTAGGGAGGGCAGTGGGGGAGTCATTGTATGAGTTTAGGTATGTATGTGCAGGCTCCACTGCCATGTCAAAGAGACATCTAAATACAGTGGATCAAACAAGACAGAAGTTTCTCTTTAATAACACTTGGGAGATAGGAAGGCAGTCCAGGGCTGTGCGAGCCATCCCAGCAGCTTGTCAGTTATTACCATTTCTAAAAAAAAAAAAAAAATTGGTAGGTATATAGTTGGTATATATATTTATAGATACAAGAGATATTTTGATACAGGCATGCAATGCATAGTAATTACATCATGGAAAATAGGGTATCCGTCCCCTCAAGCTTTTATCCTTTGTGTTACAAACAATCCAATTATACTCTGTTAGTTACTTTTAAGTGTGCAAATAAATTATTATTGACTATAGTCACTCAGTTGTGCTATCAAATACTAGGTTTTATTCATTCTACTTTTTTTGTACCCATTAACCATCCCTACTTCTCTACCCTGACCCCCCCCCACAATACCCTTCCTAGCCTCTGGTAACCATCCTTCTACTCTCTATCTCCATGAGTTCAATTATTTTGATTTTTAAATATCACAAATAAGTGAGAACATGTGATATTTGTATTTCTGTGTCTGGTTTATTTCACTGAACATAATGACCTCCAGTTCCATCCATGGCGTTGCAAATGACAGGATCTCATTCTTTTTTATGGCTGAATGGAACTCTGTTGTATATATGTACCACATTTCTTTTATCCATTTATCTTTCAATGGACACTTATGTTGCCTTCAAATCTTGGCTATTGTGAACAGTGCTGCAGTAAACGTAGGAGTGCAGATATCTCTTCAGTACACTGATTTCCTTTCTTTTGTGTATGTACCCTGCAGTCGGATTGCTGGATCATATGGTAGCTCTATTTTTAGTTATTTGAGGAACCTCCAGCTGTTCTCCATAGCAGTTGTACTAATTTACACTCCCATCAACAGTGTACCAGGGTTCCCTTTCCTCGGCATTCTCTCCAGCATTTGTTATTGCCTGTCTTTTGGATATAAAACATTTTAACTGGGATCAGATATCTCATTGTAGTTTTGATTTGCAGTTCTCTGATGACCACTGATGTTGAGCATCTTTTGTTATGCCTGTTAGCCATTTGTATGTCTTCTGAGAAATGACTATGCAAATATTTTGCCCATTTTTTAATAGGATTACTAGATTTTTTTTTTCCTGTAGACTTGTTTGAGCTCCTTATATATTCTGGTGATTAATCCCTTGTCAGATGTGCAGTTTGCAAGTATGTTATCCTGTTCTGTGAGTTGTCTCTTCACTTTGTTGACTTTTTTCCTTTGCTATGAAAAAAAAGCTTTTTAACTTGTTAGGATCTCATTTGTCCATTTTGCTTAGGTTGCGTGTGCTTGTGGGGTATTACTCAAGACATAACTGCCTAGACCAACGTCCTGGAGAGTTTCCTCAATTTTTTTTTCTTGTGGTAGTGTCATAGTTTGAAGTCTTAGATTTAAGTTGTTAATGTGTTTTGATTTGACTTTTATATATGGCCAGAGATAGCTGTCTAGTTTTATTCTTCTGCATATTGATATCCTGTATTCCCAGCACCAATTATTGAAGAGACTTTTTTCCCCAATGTATGTTCTAGGCACCTTTGTCAAAAATGAGTTCGCTGTAACTATGTGGACTTGTTTCTAGGTTCTCTATTCTCTTCCATTGGTCTATGTGTGTGTTTTTATGATAGTACCATGTTGTTTGGGTTACTAGAGCTCTGTAGTATAATTTGAAGTTAGATAATGAGATTCTTCCAGTTTTATTTTTTGCTCAGGATAGCATTGGCTATTCTAGGTCTTTTGTGGTTCAGGATAAATTTTAGGATAGTGTTTTCTATTTCCGTGAGGACTGTCACTGGTATTTTGATACAGATAGCATTGAATCTATTGATTGCTCTGGGTAATATGGACATTTTAACAATATTGATACTTCTAGTTTATAAACATGTAGTATTTTTTTTTGTTTGTGTCCTCTTCAGTTTCTTTCATCAATGTTTTGCAGTTTTCATTGTAGAGATCTTTTACTTATTTCATTAATTCCTAAGTATTTGATTTTATTTGTGGTTCTTGTAAATGCGATCACTTCTTTAATTTCTCTTTCAGATTGTTCACTGTTGGCAAATATAAATGCTACTTATTTTTATATTATTGATTTTGAAGACTGCAACTTTACTGAATTTTTTTTGTCAGTTCTAATAGTTTTTTGTGTAGTCTTCAGGTTTTTCCAAATATAAGATCATGTTATCTACAAACAAAGATAATTTGACTTCTTCCTTTCCAATTTAAATACACTTTTATCTTTCTCTTGTGGTATTGCTCTAGCTAGGACTTCAGTACTGTGCTGAATAACAGTGATGACAGTGAGCATCTTTGTTGTGTCCCAGATCTTACAGGAACAGCTTTCAGTTTTTTCCCATTCAGTATGATACTAGCAGCAGCTCTGTTATATATGGCTTTTATTATGTTGAGGTATGTTTCTTCTATACCTAGTTTTTTGAGGATTTTTATCATGAAGGGAATTGAAAAAATTGAAAAAATTTAATTTTTTCAAATGATTTTTCAGCATCAATAGAAATGATCATATGGTTTTTGTTTTTTATTCTGTTGATATGATGTGTCTCACTGATTGATTTGCATAGCTTGCAGCATCTTGAATCCCTGGGTTGTGATCCAACTTGGCTGTGATGAATCGCCTTTTTAATGTATTGTTGAATTCAGTTTGCTAGTACTTTGTTAAAGATTTTTGTATCAGTATCCATCAGAGATTTGGGCCCATAGTTTTTGTTTTCTTTGTGGGTGTGTGTGGGTTGCGTGTGTGTCTTTGTCTGGTTTTGTTATCATGGTAATACTGGCTTCATAGAATGAGTTTGGAAGTATTTCCTCCTCCTCTATTTTTCAGAATAGTTTGAGCAGGATTGGTATTAGTTCTTTAAATGTTTGGTAGAATTCAGTGAAGCCAAGCTTTGCTTTACTTAGAGACCTTTTATTATGACTTCAATCTTGTCACTTATTGTTGGTCTGTTCAGGTTTTGAGTTTCACATAGTTCAATCTTGGTACATTGTATAAGTCTAGGAATTTATCCATTTCATCAAGATTTTCTAATTTATTGCCATATAGTTGCTCATAGGAGCCACTAATGATCTTTTGAATTTCTGTGGTATCAGTTGTAATGCCTCCTTTTTCATCTTTGAGTTTATTTAGTTGAGTCTTTTGTTGTTGTTGTTTTGGCTAAAGTTTTGTCCATTTTGTTCACCTTTTTAAAAACTTTGTTTCATTGATCTTTGTATTGTTTTCTTCATTTCAAATTCATTTATTTTTGCTCTGACCTTTATTATTTATTTTCTTCTACTAATTTTGGGTTCAGTTTGCTATTGCTTTTCTGATTCTTTAAGATGGATTGTTAGATTACTTATTTGAAGTTTTTCTTCTTTTTTGATGTAGGCACTTACAGCTACTAATTTCCTGCTTAGTGCTGCTTTTGCTATATTCCATAGGCTTTGCTATGTTGTATTTCCATTATTACTTGTTTCAAGAAATTTTTAACTTTACTTGTTAATTTCTTCATTGGCCCATAGCTTACTCAGAAGCATATTGTTTCATTTCCATATGTGTGTATAGTTTACAAAATTCCGCTTGTTATTTTTTTTCTTCAACTTTTAAGTTCCAGGGTACATGAGCAGGATGTGCAGGTTTATTACATAGGTAAACGTGTGTCATGGTTTGCTGCACAGATCAACCTGTCATTAGGTATTAACCGCAGGATCCATTGGCTGTTCTTTCTGATGCTCTCCCCACCATCACCCAACCCATGACAGGCCCCAGTGTGTGTTGTTGCTTCCAATGTGTCCATTTGCTATCATCATTCAGCTCCCACTTATAAGTGATAACATGCAGTGTTTTCTGTTTTTTGTGTTAATTTGCTGAGGAT